CAAAAATATTAATTATCAAATTTTTCAAATCTTAAAAATTTTTAATATTATTCTATTTATAATTATTACAAATTTTCATATATAACCTTAACTTTATCTTTGCACAATAACGATTCAAACTCATTCCACATATTTTTCATAAGTAACTGTTTCAAAAATGGCAAATAGAAACCAAAGTCAATAACATAGTAGGTCATCAAGCAGAATAGCGAGTAGAAATAATTCTTCTGGAGCTTCTCAAAATCAACATAGTGCAAGCAGTTCGGGAGCAACATTCTCAAACAATAACACTTTAGGTAACCAATCTTTGCCAAACAATAATGCTTCGGATCAAAACATTTTGAACATGTCAACACACTCTGCAGCAGATGCTAATCAAACAGTTGTCCAAAATGTAATTCCACCTTTAATGGCATGCAATATTCCACCACCAACAGGACTTCAAACAACATCCTCACCAGGGACTAATACCGCTGTAGGTAGTCCAGAATTTAGTAGTGCAACTGCCCAAGAGGTAAGAAACCAATTTGAGAGGGATTCTAGACAACAACCCCTATTAGAAAATGTAAATTTAGAGGCCCCTATTAATAGTAATGATGGTCCAAGTTTAAGAGAGTATATAACTGCATCTGTTAGAATAGCTCAAAACCAAGCTCTAAGAACAATGGAAGAGAGATTAGCAGTGATGATGCCTCAAGTGGTCAGAAATTCAATTGACTCCTTGAGAAATTCGTCTTTCAATAGTCAAGACCCGAATAGGTCCGAACAAGAACCAACGTTAAATTCTCAATATATTCCAAATAATTTCCAACAGAGACAGCAACAAACTAACAATAGTAATAGAGAACATTATTCCCAGAATTTTAGTCAAAATTTTGCAATTGGTTATAAACAAATGACACCACTACAATTGCAAAAATGGGGACTAATATTTGATGGCTCGTCAAAAAACATCAGCATTGAGGAATTTGTATTCAGAGCTGAATCCTTAAGAGTGGATTACAGTTGCCCTTGGGACGTTTTCGTCAAAGGATTTCATCATTTGTTAGCAGGAAGAGCATATGACTGGATATGGCAATTCCGTCAACAAAATCCTTTGTGCGAATGGGAATTTTTGAAGTACAACCTTATAAAAAAATTTAGAAATTTCGAATCTGACTTTGAAATTCAAAGAAAGATTATAGAGCGTCGACAGCTTCCTAACGAAACTGCCGACATCTTTATTTCCGAAATTATTAAATTAAAAAATCAAATGAGAGTTCCCATCCCTGAATTCGAAATAGTAAGAATAATCAAGGATAATCTTAAAGAAGGACTAGTACAACTCATCTATGCAAGGAATATAGAATCCATTGATGTCCTCATAGAAGAGTGTAGAAGAGCTGAGGCTAATATTTCTAAACGGATGCATTATCGGCAACAAAAACAACAACAATTTAGGAGAATCCATGAGATTGAATTTGACAATGACTCTTGTGACCCGACTTCTGATGTTGAAGCAATTCATGCAACAACAACAGCAAAGCTGGAATTGCAAGAAGACAGGCCACACATACATAGAATGTGAAGTCGAACAGCGAAATATTTTTTGCTACAAATGTGGGTTCGATGGAGTTACATCACCTAAATGTCCTAGATGTATGGGAAACCGCTTCAAGAGCATGGGGAACGCTGGGAATCCATGTTCGCAGAAGGACACATCCCAGTAAAACAATCGATCCCAGACATACCAATAACAACTACTACCCAGACATTCAACAATAAGCCAACATTAATACATGTTGCAAAATCAATTTGTCCAACAACAACAAAACTAATTGCTATTGTTCCGTATGAAGAAAGATTAAAAGAGTACAATAAGAAAAGGGCTGAAATATTCAAGGACTTTGTGCCTGAAGTCAGTAAGAGAGTTGCAAAAGCGAGAAAAGGATATAACAAGAGAAAGACAGAAAGGAAAGTTATTGCATCAGCATATCTGGAAGTCGATAATGACATTAGGCCTTATTTGAAAGTGAAACTTAATAAAATAGAATTCACTGGTCTGATGGACAGTGGAGCTTCCATAAGTTGCCTAGGTAGCAATTGCATAGAAAATGTAGAGAAAATGAATGCCCAGATTTTTAATTTTAAATCCTGTCTAAGAACAGCAGACGGCAAGCAACAACAAATTGTAGGAAAAATTAAATGTGATGTAAAATGTGGAAATAAGGTTAGAAACTTGACATTTTACTTAGTTCCTAGCTTGAAACAAAGTCTCATTTTAGGATACGATTTTTGGCAAACATTTGATATAAAAATATCGTTTGAACCAAATATATTCAATAAAGAAGTATTAGAGATTGACGAGGAAAGGAAAATGCATGACCTTACGTATGAACAAAACTTGAAGTTAGAGAACGCTAAGCTCTCATTTCGTTGCTATACGAAGTATGGTCTAGGAAAAACTCATCTCGAACAGCATTCCATCGATATTGGAAATTCAGCCCCTAAGAAGATGAGATACTACCCAGTGAGTCCCGCAGTACAAAAACTCATGTACGACGAGTTAGACCGTATGCTGGAACTGGATGTAATCGAGATAGCACGAAATGTAGAATGGAACAACAGAGTTACCCTGGTCATAAAACCCAATAAAAACAGGTTATGTTTGGATGCAAGGGAACTCAATAAAGTGACGCGTAAAGATGCATATCCTTTGCCTAATATCGAAGGTTTGTTAGCTAGACTCGGAGATACGCATTTCATATCAGCAATAGATCTAAAGGACGCATTTTGGCAAATTTCTTTGGTGGAATCAAGCCGTCCTTTGACAGCATTCACGGTCCAAGGTAGACCACACTACCAGTTTAAGGTCATGCCTTTCGGATTGTGCAATGCTGCTCAAAGGATGTGCCGCCTGATGGATAAAGTGATTCCTTCAGAGTTGAAAGACCGTGTATTTGTGTACCTCGACGATTTATTGGTGGTATCCCAGAACTTCGATGTCCATATAGAGATGCTCAAGACTGTAGGAGACAGACTAACAAACGCTGGCTTAACAATAAATATGGACAAGTCAAAATTCTGTTATAGAGAACTTCGATATCTTGGTTATATTGTGGGAGCAGGCCAGTTAAAACCTGATCCAGGAAAAATTGAAGCCATTATGAATATCAAGTCACCCAAAAATCAGAAAGATGTTAGGAAATTTCTAGGTACTGTAGGGTGGTATCGTAGATTTATTCACGATTTTTCCACGTTAACGTCCCCTCTAACAGATACCTTAAAGAAATCTCCGAAGTTTATAATGACCCCTGAAGCAATTGAATCTTTCGAAAAATTAAAAAAATGTTTAGTCTCAAGTTCAGTATTATCCAGCCCCGATTTCTCAAAACCTTTCTTTGTGCAGTGTGACGCATCGAACGTCGGAGTTGGTGCTGTTCTTTTCCAAAAGGATGACGACGATGGTGAACACCCCATCGAATACTTCTCCAAGAAATTGAACAGTGCCCAACGCAACTACTCCACTACAGAGAAAGAGTGCCTTGCAGTCATCTTGGCAATTGAGCGGTTCAGACAGTATATAGAATTGATGGAATTTACAGTCATCACTGACCACTCAAGCCTACAATGGCTGATGAGACAGAAGGATTTGAATGGACGTCTAGCGCGATGGAGTTTAAAATTACAAGGCTACATGTTCACCATTGAACATAGAAAGGGAACCAAAAATGTAGTACCTGACATGCTCTCACGCTTAGACATGGAAGAAATTTCTGTAGACACAACATCCATATTAGATTTTGATTCAGAAGAATTCAAAAATCCCAACTACCTAAGTCTCATTGACACAATCGAGCAAAATAAAGATAGACTGCCTGACTTAAAGGTGCAAGAAGAAAGAAAGCGAGGACGCTTGTTGGAAGATTTGGCTACCAAGCAATTTGACCAACGAAATTGTAAAAAAGTCCCATGAGACAAACACATGCCATGGTGGCATAGCTAAGACTATACATAATATACGACAATACTTTTACTGGCCTTCAATGGTCACAGATATACGAGATTTTATAAGAAACTGTGATACATGTAAGGAAATAAAACATCCTAGACAAACACTTAGACCTCCAATGGGAAATGAAGTGGTCACATTACGACCATTTCAGAAGATCTACATTGACTTTTTAGGACCTTACCCAAATTCGTATTGCTCAAAACAATGATTAAAGCAACCGTTTCTCAAGTAAATAAATTTCTTGTAGAAGAGGTATTTTATAAATTCGGAGTGCCGGAATGTATCCATTCAGATAATGGAAAACAATTTACCTCTGAAGCATTTAAAGAGCTAATGAAAATGTTTGGGATACAACATATTCGTACTGCAATACATGCACCACAATCTAATGCAAGTGAAAGGGTAAATCAAACAATCCTTAGTAGCATTCGTAGTTACCTACAAGAAGATCATGCAAGATGGGATGAAAGGCTGCCCAAAATTGAATGTGCACTACGCTCAACAATTCATGCTTCTACAGGTACAACTCCATACTTCGCTTTAACAGGCTACCAAATGATTACGCATGCTGATGCATACAAGATTCTAAAAAAACTAAATGCCTTAGAAGACGGTGAAACAATTCTGTTACCTAAATCCGACCAAATGCAAATAATGCACAACAAGATCAACAAAAAGATACATGAAGCCTATGAACGAAACATAAGATCATATAACAAGAGAAGTAGTAACCTACTAGAAGTAGTAACCTACAAACCTGGACAGGAAGTCTTCCGAAAGAATTTTGTGCAAAGCAATTTTGCAAAAGATATAAATTCTAAACTCTGCAAACCGTGGATTAAATGTAGAATAAGAAAAGCCCTAGGAAACTGTCTATATCAAATTGAAAACCTTAAAGGAAACCTAGTAGGGACTATCCACGCACAACACCTCAAGCAATAGTATTAGTACCTACTCTTATAACTAATATTAAACTTAATAACTAATTTTCTCACTAAAACTGCAAATATTGTTGTTTAAAAAATATATCTCTTTTGATGTGATGAGTCGTAGTTATGTTGATCGTTGCATTCAATTTCTGCATTATTGATTCATTGCTGGAACTACCTGAAAAAGAAAGAAAGCTATTAATAATCAGAAATAATTTCATACTAGAACCTGAAAATAGAAAGAACACATTAGTAACAATATTATAATAAATTTTAAGATATACTTATCTTTAAATTCGCCAATTTACTATAATGTTCTGCACATGAAACATACTTTTAATATTCTCAGAGATTTTAGACTCCCATTAATGCTTACCTAAAACAAAAACTTCATAAACATTTTGATGACAACACGACTTCAATTGGAATAATACTATCCTTTCTCCTTTCCTTTACAAACTCACAACACCACACATCTGAATATGTAAGGCATTTAGTTTGCCATTTTCAATGCATCTACCTGGAAAATAAACAAAAATATTGAGTTTGTTAGTAATCTAGTACACACACTGTTCGTTGCCATTAACCTACATGATCATTAACATACCTTATAATGCATGCAGGTAAAAATCTATATACTTACTACGTAATGCAAAAACGTAATTCAAAAGCATATTGCATTTGATACAATCAATATTCACAAATATTAACTTGAATGTTACACAAATGTTTCTTAAAAACAAAGATAGAAATTAGTACAATGAATAACAAACATTGTATCTACTTACCATATCTGTTATAAATTGCCAACTGGACCAATAGAGCATGCACACATATAGGTGAATATGTCTACTCACATTCGACGTCCTTCGTAACACACTCCTATTAACACACAAAAAAAATGCATTCCATTTGACAATACACAACAATAAAATAATATATTTTTACACTTTTGCTGATAGATTCATCCTGTTGTGTTCCTAAGGTAAATATTTTCTTGTCAATCCAAAGATTCCAACATACATCCCTTATTACCTAAAAACAAAAAAAAAAACATTACCAACATGATGTGAGTGGAATTGCTATATTTACCTTTTTATTGTTTTCCATATAAATATTCCCAACTCTTTTACACTACACAGGTTGCGCGAAAAGAGTTGGCTTTGTGACAGCCACCCTTGGGCTGTGGATATGAGCAACAAACTTATTATTTTTCAAAAGAATTTTTTTCACCATTTAGCGGTTTGATGTTTGAAATGTAAATAGACATTATAGGGATACCACAATCGTATCTTGACAATCTTCATATTATCTAGTAGGAACACTGCAATCGTGTTTTGACCATCTTTAATTATCTGGCCGTAAGTACACCGCAGTATTACAACATATTTGTTTCCAACAAATCGTAAATGTTGGACAACAATTGGAAAAAAGCTTTAACAATTGCTATAAAAAGCTTTTAATAAAATAAACCTTGACCTGCTTTAAATTATTTGAATTTTTGAAAATATGATAGCATTATTAATTCATATTAATAAATCTTGAACACAAGAAAAATAAATGCTGCCATGATCATTACTAGAGAGCCATCTATATACAATGCTCAACACTACAAATTGATACCACTAGAAAAAGGAACCAATTGTACCATCTCTAAAACTCCAGCATGTGAGTTCCAACCTTCACAAAGTCACCTTGAAATTGTTCTTTCATTTCAAACGTTGAAGGTTTACAATAAGGTTAAACATTTAAGATATATAATAAATACTAAATATAAAGGTGAAGTTTGAAACCTTGTGTAATTTCAATAGTGGTTATTAAACGTTTCTTTTCTTTTAGTTAAATTAATAAAAATTTAAAATATTAAAACTAAAGATTGGAGAGTTTAATGCTGAAATATTAATAAAGAAATATTGAAAATTGCCCAGGTGAGAATAATAACATAAAACGAAAACAATTTGCTTTTGATTAGTGTCTAATGTCAGGGAATTTGTGCCATTTTTATAATATAGAATAGCGTGTTGAAATACCTATTCTCCAAATAAGGCAGAAAGAAGTCAGAAGTGAATTTCTGACGACTTCAACACCGCGGCAGTCGTCAAATTGTCACTTGTAAATGGAGACACATATTCTGGGTATTAACTTCGAACAGTAAGATACATATAGATATATATAATTCATCATAAGGACATTATCATAAATCAATAAGTTGCTGTTTTTAAAACTGGTATACTTAACCAAGATATCGTTGTGAAGTGGCAAAATATAAGTATGATACAATCTCCATCTCAACGCAACAATCACATGGTTGTTTTGGCACATAATTAAAATATTTGGAAATTAAAATGTAAGGCATATGTTAAGGCGTTAAAAACTATGAATATTGCCATAAAAACATTAGGGTAGAACGGAGAAAATCCTGATAAATTTAAATTATTAAAAAAATCGATAAATAACATAAAAAATGGAGAAGGAATTATAGATAAATATAACCTAAAAATATTATATAGTACCCACGTGGATATGAAATGTAATTTTTCGTCAAATTTAATACAACTTATCTAGAGATACAAAAAAAATTATAGCAAATATAAGAATTATATAAATATAAATTTTTAAATTATTATAAATATAAGAATAATAAATAAGATAAATATTGCTTAAAAAATAATATAATTTGACACAAAAATTATACCATAAATATGTACGTATAACTATTTCTAAATTATATATGTATACAACAAAAAAAATCATTAAAAACCTAAAATTATACATTTAGTAAATAGACATTTAGAAAGCAAATGTTAAAAAAAAGAATTATAGTAAAAATAATTAATATAAATCTTATCAGAATATTATAAGTTTAATTATTATTAAGGAAACTAAAAATTATTATGCCAATAGAACTTGAGTCGAACCTGGAGAGTTTCTAGTGTATAATTCGCATATGCTAATTTGCAATAAGTTCGAAATATATACTACTTTCCAGAGAACGGCCCTTGTAAGCCATCATCCACACCAAATATGCCTGATGAGCCGCTTAACCAACGGCGAAACGCGTCGCATAGTGGTGAGTGTGTGATAGTGTCTATCTGGCTTTCCTTTTCACTGCAAATTTCAGATCATTAAGCTCGTCTCGAAAGAGAAAACAAACACATAAATCATAAAACATATGATCTTCGCCTTAACAAGGCAAAACTCAAAAATTCAGCCGAGCCTGGCTGTGGGATTTGAACCGCGAACCTCGGTGTGCAGCCAACTAGAAGTTGCCGTCTCTACGTTCAGAGCCATTAACCCGTCTTTCTAAAAGCAGCACTAAACAAGTGTATGCATTGGAAGCAATGTAGTTGTTGTGGACAAAAAATCCATCACTACAAAAACAAAAACTTTGCTGTGAAAAAGATCTGCCAATAGAACTTGAGTCGAACCTGGAGAGTTTCTAGTGTATAATTCGCATATGCTAATTTGCAATAAGTTCGAAATATATACTACTTTCCAGAGAACGGCCCTTGTAAGCCATCATCCACACCAAATATGCCTGATGAGCCGCTTAACCAACGGCGAAACGCGTCGCATAGTGGTGAGTGTGTGATAGTGTCTATCTGGCTTTCCTTTTCACTGCAAATTTCAGATCATTAAGCTCGTCTCGAAAGAGAAAACAAACACATAAAAATTATTATATTTAAACCGGAAATTGTTATAAATATTAAATTCAAAAAAAAAAAATATATATATATAATAACAAAAATGCACTACAAGTTTAATTTAATTATTGAAATATTTTGAGTCATATTTTTTTAACATAATGTTTTGAACTTTAAAATAATGGGTTGAATGTTTGTTAGTGTGTGTTAAAATATATTTGGGGTATTTTCACTTAAATCTGATGGCATAGAAAATACCATGGATGACTGTAAAAGTCATATGGGGAGGGAAAAGCCATCGAGGTTACCATCTAAACCTCACATAATGGAAATCTCACTTGTATTTATTTTGAATTAAAATGTTTAATGTGTTTATAAATCGAACTGCATCCGTTTCCTTTGTACTTTTTTTTATTGTTTTTAAATTTCATTTTGAATTCCCGTTACAAAAAAATAACACCTATGGTACACAAATTTATATGTGCAGTTGAAGCGGAAAGAACCTACCCATTCCGGCGAGCTAAGCCGCAGCCTAAGACCGCAGTACCATGTCCGCACAAAAATAACTGTTACAGCTTCTCAACCCTGGTACTACGACTCCGAAATGTCGTTTATGCCAATCGGGAAACCGAAACAGGGGCGTGGAGAGTCAAGGGGGCCACGTCCGACCGAAAACCCCTAATTGCCAAACAAGGGCTTCAGAAAGATTCCAAGCCAAATACAACATCAAGACATTTATTACTAGAAGAGCATAACCGTTTTAACCCAGGAATGAGGCATTACCAATCTTTCGAGGATAGAAAAACCCATTACGAGAAAGTCCGGGAAAGAATAATGTCCGAAAGGGAATCCATTAATTTTAAGGAATCTAAAATTCATTAATTAAGAAAACAATTCAAAGATAAAAGAAAGGAAATAAATTTAATTGTAGATTCAGTCAAAAACATAGATCATGTGGATCATAGAATATATGCAGAGGTCGAAATCAACGGTGTAGAAAAACAGGGTCTATTGGATACTGGGGCTTCAGTCAGCATCATGGGAAAAGGCTGTCGTGAGTTCCTCGACCAAGTGGGGGCCAGATTAAAACCAATATTTTCCACGGTTAAAACTGCCGCGGGACAACCACATAGGATATTAGGCAAGATCACACTTGATGTTACATACAAGGATAGAACCCAGAGCTTAGATTTATATTTATGCCCTGATTAGGAGCAGGAATTGTACTTGGGAATCGACTTCTGGCGACTGTATGATCTAGTACCGGACTGGATAGAAATTAATAAGCTAACGATAGAGAACATACCGAAAGAGATACTCGAAGATGAAACATATAAATTGAATCCCCATATGCTATCCACCGAACAACAACAACCACTCGACGAGGTCATGAAGAACTTTGCGACGTTTGCAGAAAATGGTCTCGGTAAAACACACCTGGAGAAACATACGATCCAATTGATAAAGGGGGCACAACCCGTCAAGGATCGTCATTCGACCCTATTATGGTTGTCGTCGGCGTCGCAAAATGAAGTCGAGGCGACAATAATGATATTAGAGTTGTCGTTTTTTGTCGATAGCGACAAATGATTGCTATAGTAACCGTCGATACAACAGTCGACCTGAAGTCGATTTTTAAGAAAATCTGTCGCCGTAAAAAAATGTGACGACATTGTATTTTTTAGTCGACGTTGATATTGTAACTTTTTTGTATTTGATATTTACCCATGAAAATAACAACAGCAAAACAATTTGAAATGTTGGTTTCCGAATTGGAAAAACCCCATGTTGCAATATTATTATTAATTAATTAATTTGCAATAAGTTCGAAATATATACTACTTTCCAGAGAACGGCCCTTGTAAGCCATCATCCACACCAAATATGCCTGATGAGCCGCTTAACCAACGGCGAAACGCGTCGCATAGTGGCGAGTGTGTGATAGTGTCTATCTGGCTTTCCTTTTCACTGCGAATTTCAGATCATTAAGCTCGTCTCGAAAGAGAAATCAAACACATAAATCATAAAACATATGATCTTCGCCTTAATAAGGCAAAACTCAAAATTATTTTTGTTTGTTTTTATTATTTAGTTTTCTAAAGTTCTTCTAGGTTTGGGAAGATTTAAAATTTAAAACTAAAAATCAATTGTGCACAATAAGGGTGAAGCCAGCAGTACTGGAGTTGGTATTTTTAGGCAAATGACTTTGTCGCTTTGGGAGGAGTCTATCGCGAATTTAATGCAGTTTCAAAAGTTACTGAATCCACTTGGTTGTGCACTTGGAGTAAAAAATACGAAAACATAAACGTTATAGATCATGAAAATGAGCCAGTGGACAATGCTGATGACGAGACTGATGTAAGTACTATCCAAGCTTCTCCAGCGCCCAGAAAAAACAATGATAAAAAGTCATCAAGGAAAGAAGAAACTATTGAACTCTTGAAAGAGCAGTATAAACTTTTGGAACAACACAACCTAGAGTCAGGCAATGCAAATATGTTTGTTTGCTGCCTTAGCACTCGCCGCTGCATTACTAATACATTCTCCACTTCATCCTCACTCGAACTTAAAATATGTAACGCATTTATAATATCCATTTTTTCACTATATTTTTTATTTTGCGAAAGAGACAAAATTAGAATTCAAAATACAAACAAATTTTTATCTTATTTTGTCAATAACAAGGAAATGTTGCCAACTTTTATTTTAAACTGTCGATGTCGCCTCCATGCCTTACCGTAATACTATTTTTGAATCGAAGCGACTGTGAGGGCGACTTGCACATAAAGTCCACGACGTCTATAGAAACGACAACCGTAATTGGGCCGAATATCTTCTTAAATCACAATTTATTCAATAATTTTGAACAATTATGCAAACATATGCTCACCCAAGTGAAGTATATTTTAAAGACCTTTTCGGTAAATTTTGATATTCTTTAGTCAATTGGACTCAATAATTATTTTTGAATATTTCAACTTTATATGAATATTTAATTTAATTAAAATTTAGGGACAATTAAGTAACGTGGTATTGTCTTGGTCAATAACGGTATCGTCAGATTTAATCACGAACTCTGATTAAGTTTCCTTTTCAAAGTGATAACCTCACAATTTATGACACTTTTCTGACGACTTCAACAACTGCAATGACTTGAAATACCA